ACTGTAACTCACCTTACTGTAGAGTGAAATATGTTGCTTCTAAACTACTGTAACTCACCTTAGTGTGAGATGTGTTTTTCCTAAACTACTGTAACTCACCTTACTGTAGTGTGACTTAAGCTGCTTCTTAAACTACTGTAACTCACCGTACTGTACTGTGACATAAGTTGCTCCTAAACTATTGTAACTCACCTTACTGTAGTGTGACATAAGTTGTTCCTAAACTACTGTAACTCACCTTACTGTAGTGTGACATAAGTTGCTCCTAAACTATTGTAACTCACCTTACTGTAGTGTGACATAAGTTGTTCCTAAACTACTGTAACTCACCTTACTGTAGTGTGACATAAGTTGCTCCAAAACTACTATGACTCACCTTAGTGTGAGATAAGTTGCTCCTAAACTACTGTAACTCACCTTACTGTAGTGTGACATAAGTTGTTCCTAAACTACTGTAACTCACCTTTCTGTAGTGTGACTTAAGTTTCTCCTAAACTACTGTAACTCACCTCACTGTAGTACGACATAAGTTGCTCCTAAACTACTGTAACTCACCTTACTGTAGAGTGACATAAGTTGCTCCAGAACTACTTTAACTCACCTTACTGTAGTGTGACATAAGTTGTTCCTAAACTACTGTAACTCACCTTACTGTGTGACATAAGTTTCTCCTAAACTACTATGACTCACCTTAGTGTGAGATAAGTTGCTCCTAAACTACTGTAACTCACCATACTGTAGTGTGACCTAAGTTGCTCCTAAACTACTTTAACTCACCTTACTGTAGTGTGACTTAAGTTTCTCCTAAACTACTGTAACTCACCTTACTGTAGAGTGACATAAGTTGCTCCAGAACTACTGTAACTCACCTTATCGTAGTGTGACATAAGTTGTTCCTAAACTACTGTAACTCACCTTACTGTAGTGTGACATAAGTTGTTCCTAAACTACTGTGACTCACCTTACTGTAGTGTGACTTAAGTTTCTCCTAAACTACTGTATCTCACCTTAATGTAGAGTGACATAAGTTGCTCCATAACTACTTTAACTCACCTTACTGTAGTGTGACATAAGTTGTTCCTAAACTACTGTAACTCACCTTACTGTGTGACATAAATTGCTCTTAAACTACTGTAACTCACCTTACTGTAGTGTGATATAAGTTGTTCCTAAAATACTGTAACTCACCTTACTGTAGAGTGAAATATGTTGCTTCTAAACTACTGTAACTCACCTTAGTGTGAGATGTGTTTTTCCTAAACTACTGTAACTCACCTTACTGTAGTGTGACTTAAGCTGCTTCTTAAACTACTGTAACTCACCTTACTGTAGTGTGACTTAAGTTTCTCCTAAACTACTGTAACTCACCTCACTGTAGTATGACATAAGTTGCTCCAGAACTACTGTAACTCACCTTACTGTAGTGTGACATAAGTTGTTCCTAAACTACTGTAACTCACCTGACTGTAGTGTGACATAAGTTGTTCCTAAGCTACTGTAACTCACCTCTCTGTAGTGTGACATAAGTTGTTCCTAAATTACTGTAACTCACCTTACTGTGTGACATATGTTGCTCCTAAACTACTGTAATTCACCTTACTGTAGTGTGACATAAGATGTTCCTAAACTACTCTAACTCACCTTACTGTAGTGTGACTTAGGTTGCTCCTAAACTACTGTAATTCACCTTACGGTAGTGTGACATAAGTTGCTACTAAACTACTATAACTCACCTTACTGTAGTGTGACTTAAGTTGCTTCTAAACTACTGTAACTCAACCTCCTGTAGAGTGGCATAAGTTGTTCCTAAACTACTGTAATTCAAATTAATGTAGTGTGACATAAGTTGTTCCTAACCTACTGTAACTCACCTTACTGTAGTGTGACATAAGTTGCTCCTAAACTACTGTAACTCACCTTACTGTAGTGTGACATAAGTTGTTCCTAAATTACTGTAACTCACCTTACTGTGTGACATAAGTTGCTCCTAAACTACTGTGACTCACCTTAGTGTGAGATAAGTTGCTCCAAAACTACTGTAACTCACCATACTGTGGTGTGACCTAAGTTGCTCCTAAACTACTGTAACTCACCTTACTGTAGTGTGACTTAAGTTGCTCTTAAACTACTGTTACTCACTTTACTGTAGTGTGACATAAGTTGCTACTAAACTACTGTAACTCACCTTACTGTAGTGTGACTTAAGTTGCTCCTACACTACTGTAACTCACCTTACTGTAGTGTGACTTAAATTTCTCCTAAACTACTGTAACTCACCTTACTGTAGTGTGACATAAGTTTCTCCTAAACTACTGTATCTCACCTTAATGTAGAGTGACATAAGTTGCTCCATAACTACTTTAACTCACCTTACTGTAGTGTGACATAAGTTGTTCCTAAACTACTGTAACTCACCTTACTGTGTGACATAAATTGCTCTTAAACTACTGTAACTCACCTTACTGTAGTGTGATATAAGTTGCTCCTAAAATACTGTAACTCACCTTACTGTAGAGTGAAATATGTTGCTTCTAAACTACTGTAACTCACCTTAGTGTGAGATGTGTTTTTCCTAAACTACTGTAACTCACCTTACTGTAGTGTGACTTAAGCTGCTTCTTAAACTACTGTAACTCACCGTACTGTACTGTGACATAAGTTGCTCCTAAACTATTGTAACTCACCTTACTGTAGTGTGACATAAGTTGTTCCTAAACTACTGTAACTCACCTTACTGTAGTGTGACATAAGTTGCTCCTAAACTATTGTAACTCACCTTACTGTAGTGTGACATAAGTTGTTCCTAAACTACTGTAACTCACCTTACTGTAGTGTGACATAAGTTGCTCCAAAACTACTATGACTCACCTTAGTGTGAGATAAGTTGCTCCTAAACTACTGTAACTCACCTTACTGTAGTGTGACATAAGTTGTTCCTAAACTACTGTAACTCACCTTACTGTAGTGTGACTTAAGTTTCTCCTAAACTACTGTAACTCACCTCACTGTAGTACGACATAAGTTGCTCCTAAACTACTGTAACTCACCTTACTGTAGAGTGACATAAGTTGCTCCAGAACTACTTTAACTCACCTTACTGTAGTGTGACATAAGTTGTTCCTAAACTACTGTAACTCACCTTACTGTGTGACATAAGTTTCTCCTAAACTACTATGACTCACCTTAGTGTGAGATAAGTTGCTCCTAAACTACTGTAACTCACCATACTGTAGTGTGACCTAAGTTGCTCCTAAACTACTTTAACTCACCTTACTGTAGTGTGACTTAAGTTTCTCCTAAACTACTGTAACTCACCTTACTGTAGAGTGACATAAGTTGCTCCAGAACTACTGTAACTCACCTTATCGTAGTGTGACATAAGTTGTTCCTAAACTACTGTAACTCACCTTACTGTAGTGTGGCATAAGTTGTTCCTAAACTACTGTGACTCACCTTACTGTAGTGTGACTTAAGTTTCTCCTAAACTACTGTAACTCACCTCACTGTAGTATGACATAAGTTGCTCCTAAACTACTGTAACTCACCTTACTATAGAGTGACATAAGTTGCTCCAGAACTACTGTAACTCACCTTACTGTAGTGTGACATAAGTTGTTCCTAAACTACTGTAACTCACCTTACTGTGTGACATAAGTTGCTCCTAAACTACTATGACCCACCTTAGTGTGAGATAAGTTGCTCCTAAACTACTGTAACTCACCATACTGTAGTGTGACCTAAGTTGCTCCTAAACTACTGTAACTCACATTAGTGTGAGGTAAGTTGCTCCTAAACTACTGTAACTCACCTTACTGTAGTGTGACTTAAGTTGCTCTTAAACTACTGTTACGCACTTTACTGTAGTGTGACATAAGTTGCTCCTAAACTACTGTAACTCACCTTTCTGTAGTGTGACTTAAGTTGCTCCTAAACTACTGTAACTCACCTTACTGTAGTGTGACTTAAGTTTCTCCTAAACTACTGTAACTCACCTTACTGTAGTGTGACATAAGTTGCTCCTAAATTACTGTAACTCACCTTACTGTAGAGCGACATAAGTTGCTCCAGACCTACTGTAACTCACCTTACTGTAGTGTGACATAAGTTGTTCCTAAAGTACTGTAACTCACCTTACTGTAGTGTGGCATAAGTTGTTCCTAAACTACTGTAACTCACCTTACTGTGTGACATAAGTTGCTCCTAAACTACTGTAACTCACCTTACTGTAATGTGACATAAGTTGCTCCTAAAGTACTGTAACTCACCTTACTGTAGTGTGACATATGTTGCTTCTAAACTACTGTAGCTCACCTTAGTGAGATGTGTTTTTCCTAAACTACTGTAACTCACCGTACTGTAGTGTGACATAAGTTGTTCTTAAACTACTGTAACTCACCTTACTGTAGTGTGACATAAGTTGTTCCTAAACTACTGTAACTCACCTTACTGTGTGACATAAGTTGCTCCTAAACTACTGTAACTCACCTTACTGTAGTGTGACATAAGTTGCTCCAAAGGTACTGTAACTCACCTTACTGTAGTGTGACATATGTTGCTTCTAAACTACTGTAGCTCACCTTAGTGTGAGATGTGTTTTTCCTAAACTACTGTAACTCACCTTACTTTAGTGTGACTTAAGCTGCTTCTAAACTACTGTAACTCACCGTACTGTAGTGTGACATAAGTTGCTCCTAAACTATTGTAACTCACCTTACTGTAGTGTGAAATATGTTGCTCCTAAACTACTATACATCGCCTTACTGTAGTGTGACATAAGTTGTTCTTAAACTATTGTAACTCACCTTACTGTAGTGTGACTTAAGTTGTTCCTAAACTACTGTAACTCACCGTACTGTAGTGTGACATAAGTTGCTCCTAAACTATTGTAACTCACCTTAGTGTGACATAAGTTTCTTCTAATCTACTGTAACTCACCTTACTGTAGTGTTACATAAGTTTCTCCTAAACTACTTTGACTCACCTTAGTGCTTCACCTGCAGGTCTCTCGTGTGACTCATGTAAGGCGTTCTTCCGTCGTGCAGTTCACAACGACGCGTTTGTTAATTTCACGTGCCCGTACGATGGTCACTGCGTCATCAACATCGCCTCCCGGAAATGTTGCCAGTACTGCAGGTCAGTCCCACACTCTGCCTCTCATTTACTGCTGTGGTGTCTAGTACTTGTGATGGGATGTTCAGTGTTGGTTTTGGGTATTAAGATAGTTAGAGAGAACCGATTGCCTGTTAACACAAAAGTAATTCTGAAAAAAATCTATTTGTGCTGACGTAGTTAGCATATAAAACAAATAGAGTATCGTCCTAATATCTGAGGATTGTCGACCACAGTTACCGCAACTCTAAACGCTCTCGGACTGTTTTTACCAAAGTTACTATGTCTGTTAATAACTAAGCTCAACAGAGCGAGATTATAATTGTGATCTAAAAAAACAAGTGCCAAACTTAAATTCGTCAAACTTAATTTATCATAAGACTTAACCTAAACAAACCTAACCTAAATTAAGCTCATCTAACTTAACCTTATCATATAGGGATTAACCTACCCAGGCACAGGTCTGCGACCCACATCGAGGTCTGGGGGGACGAAAAAAATTAATAAATAAATTGCATCACGATATAAATACAGAAATGGGAAAATAAAACAGATCTAGAGTGATAAACAATATATGGGTTGTATCGTCAAGTAAGAGGAACAATTGAGACCCTGCAATTGTGTGCAAATGAGGCAGAAAGTAAGATCACCAACCTGGGACTTGATCCCAATTTTTATGATGCCATATAGCAGGAGGGTCTACTATTAGACAACACATTATGCTTCCAATAACTTCTTCCTAGCTGTTAGTACCTCTCTGTTTGATAGCTGCCTACTACTTACCCTAACCCATTTAACTTGACATAAACTAACTGAAAATAAACTTAATCTTAACCTTACCTCTCATAATTTAATTGATGACTTAACTCAACCTGACCTTTGACCAGCGATACCTTCTCCCTTTGTATGAAGTGACTTAAAGGTCAACTACAGAGCTGATTTATTTCAGTGTTGTTTTTGTACCATTGTTTTAGCATAACCCCAGGGTAAGAAAATACGTTAAAACATCCTTCATATCCGCCTCTTCGGAGGGAGCCCACACCTCCACTCTCCAGTGAGATCCATGTCAGTATTATGTCATTGTAGTTATTGGTTCATATTTTGTTTAGAAGACTTTATAAGATATTTTTGTGAGGGAATTAAAAATTAGAATACAGTACAAAGATAATAGCCCAAAAAGGGGTAATGAACTGTCACACCCGAAACACCACTAACAACCGGGCTCACCTACTGTGTTCTTCCCACACGCATGTGGTGTTGCCTTACGACTTATTTTACAAATTTGATATATAAATGACATATAAGTAATTACTGTTATTTGTCCCCATTTCGTAAATCGTTGTTTTTTATTTTGGGTAATGTTAGCACAACAATCTACTGTATATTATATAGTGTCTGGTGGATGAAATTATATATCAAGTTAACTTTTCAAGGCCTTATCTGTTAGCCATTAATATCCTCAGATCACATCGCCGACATCGCTCCATCTGGGGATGTAAGGCGGTGATGCCAAAAATTACAATATCTTACGCCTAATTTTTTAAGGTGTGATTGCGCGCTTGACTGTTTTTGAGGGGAGGGGGGGAATCATGTCAGCCTTTAAACCCTTGGGTGTCAAAGAAGTGGTTTTCTTCTTTCGTGTGTCTCCCTCCTCCTCAAGTACAGAAAGCTCGTCTGTCTTATCCTTCCCTCTCTCTCAATTACAGGAAATACATCTATCTTCACCCTCCCTCGCCCTGAAGTACATAAAGAAAAAGTCTTCCATGTCTCATTTGGTGAACGTTTATCACATTTGTCACGAGACAAGATACGGGAAGTGTATGCCTAACACATTTGGCAACCTTACAGGTACAGGAAGTGTACGTCTATTGGGATGGAGAGGTCCTGGGTAATGTCGGAGGAGGACCGTGCCCAGATGATGAAGCACAGAGCAGAGAAGAGGGCCAAGACGGAGCCAGAGGACGCCGCTGGCAGGAGAGTTCTGAAGGACGGCAAAAGGGAGCTTGTGGCCTTCGAGCCAAGCCCAAGCACCATGCTAGAACACATGACAACACTGGTCAGTTACGCCTTTGTCTCACTCTGGGGGGAAGAAATGGTGATACCTTCTGTGGGGAAGTAGCAGCAAAGTCTCATGTGGAAGCGGCAAAACTGTCTTGGGTATCTAATGATGCCTCAAGTAGAGGGATAGTAATATTTAAGGAAAGGTGAAAGTAACTATTGTTTCCAGTCAAGATTGTATTGTCTTAAGGGAGATTGCATTATCCCAAAGGGTAAAGCATCTATGCTCATACTTTATCATTGGTGAAGTTATCGCCTCTTGGAACTCATAGTTTTGCTTCAGAGGATGACAAGGAACTTGCAGCATTGTTTCAAAATGATGTGTGGTCTTGCTTGCCTGAGAGTGATGTTGCAAAACAAATTGTCACAGTAATAAAATTAATAACAATAGATATCAGCTCAGTTAATTAAATAACTTAATCCCCCAGTTAACTGGGTTGTTCACATATATTAGATATTGGGGTTTTAGTAACGAAACCCAATTGGAGTTCCTTGTTTTATTATAAAAGGATTATGTCTATAATTCCTGAGTGTAGATCAACTGTAAGTTCCACTATTTATGAGTGAACGAGAAAGAGGACGGTGTTTATGAACATAAGCGTTGATCACGTCCGTTCCATATTAGTTGATGTGAGTGACTGAGCTAAGAGCGTCGCCTCTGGTGCGCGCTTACATAGATGCTGACATATGGGCTTCTCCCTCTTGGGAAAGCTACCGTTCACGTGTTCAACTCATGTCTTACTCATAGACAGTGGAAAGTTACAGGGTGGTGAATTTGAATATAATATCAGATGTATTGACCCATTTATATAATATGTTCTGTTGATGAGACAGGGGCCATTACATTGCTCGGTCACCTACCAGCCGAGCTCCGTGAGGCCTAAATAAGCTCACAGAGTACAGTACATCCTAGACAACCTAACCATGTTATAAACAGATGTGTAGACACTAATCTGGGGATTCTACTACTGTAGGGGTATTAGCTACTACAGGGGACCTAAACTTTATTGTCTTACGGGTTAATATGTTATGAACAGCGTTCATTTTCGATGACACTGCCTTATAATAACAGAACAGAAACATAATTGTCAAAATTAACATAATTGGGGGAATTGTAAGGCTTGGTATGGCAAATTCCCGTGATAGAAAAAATGGCAAATTATTACCCAAATCAGCAAAATGTGTCTCTTTCAAGAATGCTAGATTTTTTTATTTCTCTGAAACAATTTGAATATACATTATAGTGAAATTCATGACAGGAAGTTGAATTAAAGCAGACTTGAGTTGTATATTTAAAGCAAAGTGCTGATGAGTAGGCAAGGTCCGTAATGTACCACAAGTGATTTCACAGTAATCCGGAGCCTTGTAATGCCCTTTCACAACTTGCTGCTTAACACCATCATGGCATTTTAAATAACAGTAGTAAGATTTGGAAAGAACAAATATTGCACATTGTGAAGATGAGCGTGAAACATTGTTTTGAGACTAACTGGCCTATAACTGCATTGCGCAAGGAATAAACGCGAACATGTAGGCTGGACATACGTGTAGGTGTAGATAAGACGACTTACACCGTGACAGTACCTTAGGATCCTCTATTAACAATAAGGAATAATCTTCATCTATTAGGAAAAGTTCTTTAGGCCTATCCAGAGTATAGAGTGTGTCGTTAACAAACCAGGGGAAGGGTTCTAAATGCCATGCAGTAAACTGATGTTGCCCTCGCATAGGAATGTGGATCAGGATAGCATCGTGCGTGAGAGTCGACTCCAACAGTGGGTAATAATGTTCAACCTCATTGTCATTAAAAATAGGAGTTAATTGATACTGCAACTTGGCCATCTGTAAAGCGTCAAGAAGCGTCTGCACAGGCACAAGCTTTGCATCCACACGTCCTATCCCTGCATCTACAATGCTGTCAATTAGTTCATTTTTAGAGGTTACAATCTTTTGAACTGAAATTTCCGCAGCATGCAAATATTCTGTGAAATAAAGGAGCCATTCTAACGTCGGGACTGTGTTCTGTAACCTACTAACAATCCTCGAAACTTGGTTAGACTCCGATATATTGCATTAACCTTTGATTCTAAAGCAGTAATCGCATGAAAGGTTTGAGAAACAACACGATTCTGCTGAGATGCAGCCTGAACGACAATGTTCTTTCGGTCCCCCAATTTAGCTACATCATCGGCCGTTGCCGTGCCAAACAAAGTGCTTTGGATAAGACCCACAAAATTAAAGAGACCCCTTTTTCATCGTGTCTGAGAATGCACTTCCTTAACAAGATCCACTTGAGACGCTGGTAAATTCTTCCCAACATCGACGAGAAGCTTGCGAAGGTTCTGGAGACGAAAGTGTAGAACGTCAATAGTGTGTGAAACTATCGTCGATTCATTAGAAGCTGCGCTGAGACCATGAAGGATGTCCAATGCTGATTGTAGTTGGGCGTCGACGTTGTCCATCTGACGCGGAAGATGGAGCAGTGGATGGAGTTCATACTTGATGTTCACCACGTCCTCAACTATGAGAATGCGTCCGAGAGGTGCAACTAGCGCACCAGGTTTGAGGACGGATGTGGACATGTCTGTCAACACAACGGTGCAACAACACAGTAGAAGCAACACAGTGATGTTCCAAGCCATTCTGTAAGAGATTACACACGGCTTAACATCTACTTGCAGAACGAAGTTTCATACAATAGTCATTAGGAACACTCTGCTTCTGTACAGTCTGTAAAGAGGTGTCTATCACATCATCATCAACTGGAGTTAATAAATTCTCATGGGTCTTTTTAAGGCGATCCGCATGCACAACATCTGCAATCTGTGCATTAGGCTTCCAAATTTTAAATTTGTTGCCTGTTTCTTTAGCAATAATGCGGAATGGACTTGAAAATTTAGCCGAAAACTTGGAGTTCCTTTCCGGTTCTCTTACCATAACAGCGTCTCCAACGTTTAATACGACAGGTTTAGCATGTTTATGTTGCTTGATGATCATTTCGGCGCGCGACGCCGCTAAATGTGATCGGACTTGGGTATGAATATCCGTAAAGACACGAATTTGTTTGGCCGCGAAATCATCCATATTATAAACCGAGTATGGCGCATCTGTAAGGATGTCGTAAGGTAGACGTTTATCTGTACCATAGATAATGTAGTAGGGTGATTTGCCCGTAGAGCTATTAATTGACCTATTTATAGACGCTGCAACCTGCGGTAACCAATCTTCCCATGCGTATTGCAAATCACTGACAATCGGACGCAGTATCTCCAGGATTTTGCGATTAGTTCTCTCAACAAGGCCATTAGCCTGTGGATGATAAGCTGTCACAAAACTTTGTTTAATTCCATATTGCGCACATATTTGCGCTACTAGCTGATTCTTGAACTCTGCCCCATTATCAGAGAGCAGAACTTTAGGCGTAGTATATGGACATATAAGATACATCACTAATGCATAGGCCACAGCATCGGCCGTTTTATATTTTAGTGGGACCAAGACCACGAACCTGGAAAAATGATCCACACGCACCAAGACGTACGTTGATCCCTGATGACTCTTCGGGAGTTGTAACAAGTCAATAGCGACTGTGTCAAACGGACGGTTTGGTGTAGGATATTGTAGAATCGGGGCTGGTGATCCTGTAAAACCTTTATGTTGAGCACATGCCAAACAATTAGCAATGTGTAATTCTATATCTTTCTTCATAGTGTTCCAGAAATACTTCTTTCGTAATTCCGCTAGGCATTTGTCACGACCCTGGTGACCTGCCTGTGGGACATCATGGAACAATGTTATAACCGCTTTACACAAAGTGTCAGGTACGACTGAGACACATTACCCTCTGGCGTCTTTTTCGACCTATGGAGTATGTTATGTCGTAATTCAAAATGACTTAAGGGAAGAATTAATTTGGGGAGTTTAACATCCTCTCCCGATTCGAGAGCAAAAATGACTGCTGACCATAATGGGTCGCGTCGTTGCTCATCTTCCAGTTGCGAAAGAGTGAAGGTTGGTACAGGCATTACTGGTGCTATATTTCTTGACAGAGCGTCGGCGACAACATTCGCCCTCCCAGGTAAATATCTAAACTCGGGGTCAAACTCTTGAATTGTCAGATAACAACGTGCTAATCTGCCTTAACATGTGGCGCTATTTGATCTATCCTGTCCTGCCGATTCTGTTGGTATTGCGTAACAATACTACCAATTGGAAATTTTGTAGGCTGTACTTCGACATTGTTGTGATATACAAGAAAATCACACAAATAACAGCCTTTCTTTAATATCCGTTGAACGCCTGTTCTATTCAGTATCAGGACGCCTGTCAAACCGCCTGGGCGTATGGTGCTCAACGTAGACTCACACGATAGCCCTTTTACCTTGCACGTTTCCGGGAGACACACAACATCTGTGCCCGTGTACACGTCGGGTAATTCGACAGTTGCTTTGGTGATTTTCTCATTCTGGTAATGGAGAGTACTCTTCAAAACTGCAGGTACGATCTTCCAACTATTGCTGCTATAATCACGCTGGGAAAGTGTGGGTTTGAGGTCATGAGGTAGCTCTGACGCATGATCCGCCTTCCTCTTAATAGGATTGGTGGACAACACTTTCGATCTAGCGGTGAGCATAGGTTCAGAATGAATCATAGCGTTGTAGGAAACACCTTTAAACGTAATAGTATGATTACGTGGATGAACATCCATCATGTTCGTTCTAAGGGATGGGAGATCAAGTAACCCGTCAGCTGGCAAATTGAACTGCTGAACTACATAAAAGTCCGCGTAGAAGGGAGAACCACGTCTTGAAAATCTGAGTGGTAACGTCACCATTCCATTAATGCTCAACTGAGTACCTGATACTCCTTCGAGCTCAGCGTTACTGGGCCTCCATTTGAAGTCGCGGTGAGGGAATTTACGTTGTAACTCTTGATAGGATGTCAAGGCCAATACATTCGCTCAAGCACCCGTGTCAATATCAAGAGCCAATCTTGTACTATCAACCCTCACCGGCACTGACAACACTCCCACTTTGCTTGGCGCCGCTACTAACGAGGCCGCTATAGAAGTGCTGTGAGGAGAGGCAGGATATATTGTACCTATCCCTCTCGATGTTATGATGAGCGCTGGTCTTCCCCCGACGACTTGTCTTGGGGACGCTTCTGCTTACACCTGTGTTTCACTAAGGTCCAAATTCCTAGCCTTCATTACCAAGCCGCACTCTTGTGTATTATGAGATGTCGACTTGTGTAGTGCGCACCACTTGCGCGCTTTCTGGGTAGGTGGAGGTGCCACCTTAGCTGCCTCCGTGTATGACCTTGGGAACTGCTTGGCACCGGATGTGTCCTTGAACTTTGCATTATTACCCTGGAGCTGAAAACAGTCTTCTATTACATGGCCACGTTTATTACAATGAGCACATCGTAAAGGAGTACCTTGTTTATATGTCCGGTGTTGAGGTGCAATCGGAGCTATTGGTGTCGTATAAGGAGTTTGGGGTGGAGACATGTGTGCCATCTGAAGTATCTGGGGTTGCGCCGTAGACGTGGAAGGCTGCGCCGTAATCATGGAAGGCTGCGCCATTAGAGGACCTGTAGCCATGGGGCAGAGTCTGTTTGCGTACTCAACCATATCTATAGGCGGTTCGAACTGTACCTCTTGTGCCCGGCTGTACAGGGGACGACGAATAACTAGCAGGAATCTAATCAATTCTATTAACGTCTCCACCTTGGTCGCTGACATTTTACCATCTTAGTCGTACCAACCTGAACCTCTGAATGTCGCCTTCATATCTTGGCGAACTTCACCTGCGATGTCCACTGCGACGACTGGTGTCTGGGCGTGAACCATTGGCGTACAACGGTCCAACCATCTGAAGATCCATTGTAGTTTGCCCAACTGTGACCTACCCCCAAAAATTCCCATAAGTGTGCGTTTAAATTTTTCATAACTAGGGTCTTGTAACCCGTACGCATTTAAATGATTACCAGCGTAAGATCCCTGCGTAATATGGGAGCGTACAAATGCTTTCTTCTCTTCGTCACTTGTTATTTTACCGGTGCGCATGGTATCTTCACATGCACGAATGAAATGCGCAACCCGAAAATCATCTTGGCCCGTAAAATTGCGAACGTAGTCGCCACGCTGCATGATATTAATAACATTATCAGGTTTAGTTGCTGTGGTAGTAGTACTGGTGTGAGGGTTAGAGGAAGTCATTGTAGTTTTAGTATTTAGCAAGTTAGTATTCTTACTCCTAACCGAAGGCTGGGTTAATAGGAGTGTTACTGACTGAGAAGCAGACACACTGTCACCTGAAACAGGGTTAACTGCCTGTGTATACTGAGGTGAGGTACTATATTTATTTCCAGACCTTAAGATACGACGGTTTAATTCGTCATATGATTCCTCAATAACTTTCTCACTACTTCCTACCGAATCGACTGACTGTGTTCTGACTCAAGTTCAAAATCAGCCTCTGCTGGATCATCTCTGAGTACAGTATCAGCAAATAGATGCGTTAGGCGTACAAGGTCGTCACCTTTAGACATTGGAAACTTTGAAAATTATCTAAGAAGTTCCGTGTGAGCCAAAGAATAATTAACGGTAAAAGCAAATTACTTGCCTCTCATTTACAAGAAATGATTAAAAAAAAATTGTAGTTAAAATAATTAAACTATCAATAATTAAACAGACACGAAATAACCACTGTAAATTATAGAACTTTAGTACACTTTATATACATAAGACACTTTATCAATGAAATACTCCTATCCGACGTTCCTATCGTTGTGAAGATATCTCTCGAACGTGTTCATGTGTGTATAATTATGTAACTTTAAATACCTATTACAGGGTACAGGCGTCTGTAAAGAAAACGCGATCCTTCCAGGTGATATCTGAGGTGGAGTGGGGTAGAGTAGGCGGAGCTTCGTCCTTGAATGAGTGCGCACGCCTCCAGCTGGTTCCCTTGGCAACGAAAGATGACGCACAGCTACCTCGATGATGGGCGAGTCCACTACAGGATAGGGGAGTACCTCCACGGTTGAACAAATATTGATGATGATGGATTTTTGTCTTCTTGCTGCTAAGCCGCTGTCGTGACTGCCGTGCGCCAAACCTTTGCAGTCTCGTATATATGGAGAACTGTCTGATGACACCAGATCTTCTGTAATCGACGCGCTCGCGACACCACACAACCGTACAGCTACTTGTGCAATGTCAACTGTTAGTATAGATTATGAAACCATCTGCAACACTGTACTGGAGAATGCTGACTTCTGGGTTTCTTCACTGGTAATAACAGGATTTTCACCAAACTGGCTGTATGATATATTAATAATTCTGCACGTTTGGTATGTGACAGAGATGAGGAGCACTCACTAAGTATCGTCTCAATACGGGATATAGTTTTAAACACTCGGATTATGTAACGCGTCACTGTTTTCTGTTTCTTTGTTTTCACAAAACACAGACGTCTTGGCATGTCTACTAGTTTAACGTATCCGTTAACCACCAGGCTGCCACCTATATGAATCCATCGGTTAATCCCCCAGTTAACCGGGTTGTTCACATATATTAGATATTGGGGTTTTAGTAACGAAACCCAATTGGAGTTCCTTGTTTTATTATAAAAGGATTATGTCTATAATTCCTGAGTGCAGATCAACAGTAAGTTCCACTATTTATGAGTGAACGAGAAAGAGGACTGTGTTTATGAATATAAATGTTGATCACGTCCATTCCATATTAGTTGATGTGAGTGACTGAGGTAAGAGCGTCACCTCTGGTGCGCTCTTACATAGATGCTGACATATGGGCTTGTAGGGTTTCGTGATATAATGTTGTCTAGCACTCAGGATGGATGGAAACTCTAAGGTGGTTTTCTTGTATAATATAAGTTATATGATAGACAGTCTGGTGCTGGAGGTGCCGTGTGGTGAGGAGCTGCTCAGTAGGCACGTTCGGTGAGTAGCGTGTTGAAGGAGGTAGATGTGCAGGAGCTTCGTTAGAGAAGTTGTTGCCTGTTGCTGGCCTCCAGGTTGAATGAGAACGGGACAGCCAGGAGCTTGCTGGGAGGAGGTGTTGCGTGTTCAGGAACCGAGAGCAGAATGAGAGCTGGTTGGTGAGGAAGCTCAGAGAAGGACAGCTGGTGGGTCGCCATGCTCGCTGACGGGAGCGAGGACTGCCAGGCAGGCGGAGGAGAAGCGAGGGCCGCCAGGCAGCGGAGGAGGAGGAGGTGTTGCGTGTTCAAGAAGTGAGGCCAGAATGAATCTCAATGGAGAGACAGAGCTTATATACCCAGCAGCCGTGAGTCATCTGTGAGTCATGGTGGGAAACCCCAGAAAGTCGCCGGTCTTTTGGCTCTGTTGCTAGGATACGGTGGCATCTGGTGACGCCCCCCTGGGCCGCTAGTTTGGTTGCTAGGGAAGACGTAGCAGGTGGGATGCAGCTACGCAGTTGTAGGGGAGACGTCCACTACAGGCTTCTCCCTCTTGGGAAAGCTACCGTTCATGTGTTCAACTCATGTCTTACTCATAGACAGTGGAAAGTTACAGGGTGGTGAATCTGAATATAATATCAGATGTATTTACCCATTTATATTATATGTTCTGTTGATGAGACAGGGGCCATTACAATTTTGACTCACGCATGATTTTTTTCAGGTCACATCATAGGCTCTAAGCTGTCACTAGTGCCCTCGGTAGCAGGGAGCACTGAAATATGTTTCTGTTACCAGTACTGTACTTTGCTTATGCTAGAATCTAAGGTAAACAATGTAACTACATACCAATGCTAAGGGAATAAATGATCGTTATCTGTTGTCAGTTCGTTGTAGCAAGTAACTGAGCATTGGCACATAGATATTAAAATAAACATCAAATCTAGTGATAATTCATAGGATAACTTTAACATCAGCTTCAGTATACCTTATTCCATTGTCTTGTTGCTATATTGATATCAATATTACTTTATAACTGTAAAAATCAACTTCACCATTGATTTTATTAGGTATGTTATAAGATGTTTAGTGTCATCAATTTCACCCTCGTGCTGCATAACTTGACAAATCAGATGAAAATAATCATAATTGTAATTTTTTTTAAGTTTTGATCAAAGCATGAAATTTCACTCGTGCAGTCGATTCTATCGAACAGGATACCACTAACTTAACTTCCTCACTCCCATAATTAGCTTTTTAGCAAATATAGTGAAGACAGTTTTATTATGGGTATTCAGGTGTAGGTTCATTTCTGGAACTGGACATAGACCTCCTACGGTATGTAGTATTTGTCTTTCTTGCGGCAGGTGGCGCTTAAGATCATGATACCGTACTGAGCCATGTAGTGATGAGAAGTCCTTTTTTGCAAGAATCACTGCAACTGCGACTCATTAGTACATTTTCCATAACCTCATAATTCATAATGATCGTACTTTTCTAATTTGTCATCTCAATTGAAATACCGTACACTTTGTGGGATAAGAATGTACCATTGTTCCAATGTACCGCTATACCTTCGTCCCACGATATAACTATGCCATTGTTTCACCGTATCACTATACCACTGATCCACTATATCACTGTATCTATGTACCATTGTTCCACTGAAATAACACTCTTTCACTGTATCATTGTACAACTTTTCAATAGTATCACTGTACCACTTATGCTATGTTTCAGGAGCGGGACGAGGTAGAGAGGGCGGTGCTGAACTACAGGCGAGCCTATAACGAGGTACCTTACAGACACAACCTTAAGCAGTGTACCGTGGGGCGGCCCAGTGTCCAGATTATCAACATGTTCACCACCATTGTCAGGCGCTTCGCTTATTTCGCAAGGCTCTTCCCGGAGTTCTGCGACCTCCCGCCCCAGGTGTGTTGACATCTCAACCCTGAAAACGACCTCCCTTCTCAGTTGTATTGATCCCTCAACCTCTAAAACGACCACCCTTTCCAAGTGTGTTGACCTCTCAAGCTTTAAAAGGACCACCCTCCCCAGTTGTATTGATCTCTCGATCTCTAAAACGACCTATCTGTTCCAGGCAGTTACCGCTTCCAGTTTGTGTTCCAGGAAATTATATTATATAAGTATCGTTATCGTTGACACCTTTAAGTTCCTGGCATGGATGCTTGGGATTCCACCTGGTAACATCTCTAGTCGTGGAATGTCAGATAATCCCATCTACTAGTCACCCAGTACTCGTGTACTAGTCGGCGTTCCCTCCAGCTGGTATCTTGTAACTCTTTCTAGTTACTTTGTAGTTTCAGTTGGATTATCTTTGTAATATCTGTTTGTAGTTATTTCACAGTACTTAATGTTCACACAAACACTAATTGGCTTGTATATTTTATTACTAAATTATAGCACACTCTATCGTTATCAATGACGAACCAACCGATATTAAGCAACTGTCCTTTTACAAGAGAATATAGGAGGTAATTTTCAGAGCTCCTTTAACACGTGTGAGAGTGTGAAATACAGAGTTAAGGCCACTAAAGGTTGGGCACTTGGTGATGACTTGTGTAAATCATAGGTGCGTGGATGACGTGGGAATGTCATACAGCACGTAAGGATGAGATAAGCAATGTCTAGTTGCTGTTTATCTAGTTAATTTGGGTAGTTAATTTATACAAATGTTACATGTTAATAGCCCACATCAATTATAAGTACTACTGTCTATATGCAAATAGATGCTAGTACATCACTCCCTAGGTGTGTTGACGTCTCAACCGCAAAACGACCTCTCCTTAGGTGTAGTGACCTCTCAATCTAGAACGACCTCCCCCTAGGTGTGTCGACCTCAACCTCCAAAACGACCTCTCCCTAGGTGTGTTGACCTCTGAGCCTCTAAAACGACCTCCCTCCCCAAGTGTGTTCACCTCAACCTCCAAAACGACCTCCCCCTAGGTGTGTTGACCTCTGAGTCTCTAAAACGACCTCTTTCCCCAGGTGCGCTGACCTCTCAACCTCTAAAACGACCCTCCCGAAGATGTGTTGACCCCTCAGCCTCTAAAACGACCTCCCTCCCCAGGTGTGTTGACCTCAACCTCCAAGCGACCTCCCCCTATTTATGTTGACCTCTGAGCCTCTAAAACGACCTCCCTCCCCAGGTGTGTTCATCTCAACCTCCAAAAGACCTCCCCCTAGGTGTGTTGACCCCTCAACCTCTAAACCGCCCTCCCTCCCTCCCACAGAGGTGGTGATCTCTAAAACCACCTCCCTCCCCGGGTGATCTTACCACTCAATCATTTTCTCTTCTCTACCCACACCTGGTCTCCAGTACTTATCACCGCTGAGTCCTTTTCGAGATAGTCAATATTTCGGGCTTTTAGGCCTTTCAGGTTCAATTACCGAGATTCGCGTAAATTTAAGGGGAGGAAGGTAGAATGTACTGGTTATTTACTGGGGACATTTACAGGTCCCAAATCCCCCGACATAAAATTTTCAGGGCAAGCTATGCATTGTCAAATCTCAGACCGGCAAGTTTAAATTTACAGGTGCAAAATTATTATGACACTGATACAGTATTTAGGTCCATGGACAGAAACATATAAACGTCTCCATATGTACCAATTCACGCATATTCACATACACAAACATACGCATACAGTATATACATATTTGCTTGCATAATAATAATAATAATAATAATAATAATAATAATAATAATAATAATAATAATAATAATAATAATAATAATAATAATAATAATAATAATAATAATAATAATAATAATAATAATAATAATAATAATAATAATAATAATAATAATAATAATAATAATAATAATAATAATAATAATAATAATAATAATAATAATAATAATAATAATAATAATAATAATAATAATAGTAATAATAATAATAATAATAATAGTAATAATAATAATAATAATAATAATATTCGGTTTATTGAGATAAAATTGCAGCCAAGAGCTGAAAATACACAATGAACACAATAATCATTTAAATTCCAAAGGAATATTGAGGAGTTGGTCACTTAACATAAACTTTCAATAAGAAATGTGGAGGAATGTGTGAAGAATATATACTGTGAGTTAGCTAGGGTATGAAAGTGAACATACAATTTAACATGGTACAGCCGGCCATAGTCCACAAGGTACAGATGGCAACAGTCCACATGGTACAGCCGGCCACAGTCCACACGGTAAACCTAGCCTCAGCCCAATGGAATAGTTGGTTCCACATGGTTTTGACGAGTGTCTGCTCACAAAGGTCCAGGGTTTCGCACTTGGGCGTTGATCAGGTCAGGATGATAACGTCTTCCTTTGTCCCTCTTATGATTTGGTACCTCACTTGTGTTCCACTTTCAACACTTGTTTCCATTCTTTGCAAATTGAAATTGTCACTATACTGGTATATCAATTACGGTGAGTTGATCAACAATCCTTGTGCTGGTAGATGGCCAAGTTAGTTTGTGTCATTTGTGTATGTGTGTTAGGGTGTGACAGTTGCCCCAACTTTGTCCTACAATGCTGTTCAAAATTTTGGTGTTGCATATTGACATAAAAAATACCCACGTGCAATTTTTTGAAGATTCATGCATATTTGAATGAGCACCAGCAATTTGAAAAATAGCGATTTTGCTTATACCGCATACGGGACTATATATGAGATTACACAACCGTCATAAGGGATATTAACACAAATCATTGGCCTGTCTTAATTAAACGCTGTTATCACTAACACAAAAAAGTTAATAATTCTTATTCTCTCATGGTACATTAAGGGGTTTTATCATATATTCACAAGGTATTATTTCTCTAGAGCAAGAAACCATGATTTCTGTTCGGAAACAGATGATCGTTTGCGCTGATTAGGAACGCGGAGTCTGTCATTTTCAACTACTTGAAGGACTTCTTGAAAGCGCTCCTCATCCCTGGCAACATTAAGAAAGTCATGGCAAAGTCTTACACCACGCTCTGCAGCCTCATTGACGACCTGAAGCTTGTCCACAACCCGTTTCATGTTCAGGTAGTCGTCATGATCCGCCCATTCACTGGCTGGACTGTGGAGAAACTGATAGGGCATGCCTAAAATAGTGAAGGACCGGCTTGAGTCAGGCCCAATTAGGTCCACCAGGGCAGTGCCACTTTCTGGGACAGGGGGAAGATATGGCTTTCCATAGCCCCCATGATTGAGCCCCACTCTCTTAGTAACTTCAGTGCCTTCATGGCAAAGAAGGGCCTTCCTCATCTCCTCTTTTGTCCTTTCTTGTACTTGGGACGAGAACAAAGCCAGTGGGGCCAACTCCTCAGTTAGGTACCAAGTGAGTCTACCGAGTGCCACACGTGCTTTGTCAACTATTGTGGCATCATATGGGGCAAATTCAGCCAAGGTTTCGACCAAATTCAAGTCATTCAGTGGCGCACTTGCTGGAACGCGGCAAACAATCCACCATGGGACATAAACAGCGACTGTGAACACAGCAAACCGTTCTAACTTGCTGATTTGACTTTTTAGTCACAACCTCGGCTTTGGGAAACTGCTCTTTGATCTGGCCTAACAAAAGAACAATCTTGAGGGTATAGAGCAGTTTAGCCATCCACCTTGCTTTGTGAAGTGCGCCGGGGTAGACCATCGTGAAGTTCACTGGCTCGGATCCTTTAGTTACAAGCAGCAGACAAAGCTCTACCAGCTCCTTGTAGTCGCCACGTGTAAATGGTTGGGCTAGAGATTCACGGAAGAAGTCAGCCATCTCCTGCTGGCGCTCCTCAAGCACTCCAGGCATTGCGGGGTGGTAGTATTTTTTTTTTTTTTTCATTGTACGCCAGTTGAGAGAAATGGGTTTTCAACCTAGAAATGCAATTATTGGGATTATTGTATTTCGTACTAATCTATAATATTGTTTTAGGGGTATTAAGATTGATATGATCGATCATTTGCTTGGTGTTAGTATATCTTATAAGTCTAATAAAAGAAATACCACTAAATTTGTTCATTAGATAATAATATTCCTTGTTATTTTGTAAAGCCGACGGTGCTAGCTCAAACATGCACCGATCTCCAAGAGAATTTACAGGGGTGTTTCCTAGATAAATACACAACACTAAAACTTTGAACAGCATTGTAGGACCTTTTTTTTTTTTTTTTTTGGAGGGCAACGGTCACACCCTAATGTGTGTGCAATCAAAAGAACGAATGGTTGAAAAATAAAGCATGTGAAATACAAAAACTTGCAGATCAACACACAATGCGCGAATTTTTAAATTCCACTAAAACATTTTATGGGCCAATCGCCCATGCCGCAGCTCTCATCCGCTCACCCGACGGTAATTCCCTAATTAAAGACGAAAAAGGTATCCTGCAGCGCTGGAAAGAGCACTACCATTCGCTGTTCAACCGAAACACCGATGTGGATGTCCTGACTACCCAGAGGTCTCTCAGTATCCAGAGCTGACCCACCTCAGTTTTCCTCCATCCCTGGATGAGGTAGCTACTGCCATCAAACATACAGAGCCTCGGCACCTAATGGAATCCCAGCCGAGGTGCATAAAGCAGGAGGACCTCTGCTTAACAGCAGTCTCCACTCTCTCCTGGAGAATATATGGGAAAAGGAGGATATCCCCGAGTCTTAAAGACTCCTCCATCGTCAATACTTATAAGAACAAGGGAGACAGGTCAAACTATGATAACTACCGCAGGTTCTCTCCTCTGTCCGTAGCTGGCAAGATTATCGCCCGAGTCCTCCTAAACAGGCTTCTTCCTGAGGCGGAAAACTTCCTCACAGAATCTCAATGAGTCTTTAGGCCATCACGTGGCAACACTGACATGAATCTTTGCTGCCTGCCAGATACAGGAAAAGTGCAGAGAACAGCGTCGTGACCTGTACATCACCTTCATCGACCTAACCAAGGCCTTCGACTCAGTCAACATGGAAGCCCTCTGGCAGACGCTCAACCGTTTTGGCTGCCTACCAAAATTCATCGCCATTGTGAGGCAACTCCACGATGGCATTAACGGCAGTGTCCTGTACAATGGCACCCAGTCTGTGTTCTTCCTCATCCAAACGGGGGTAAAACAAGGATGTGTAATAGCACCAACTCCCTTTTCCATTTTCTTGGCTGCCTTCCTTCAGTATGTAGACGCTTCTCCCTCGTCACTCACACTGAAGGCGACCTATAAGAGATCTTGAACACCTACGCAGATGCGTGTGCACACTTTGGCCTTGAGGTGAATGTACGTAACACTCACATTCTCTTTCAGCCTGCCCCTGGCTCAGCCACATCTCCACCAATCACCCAGCTTAATGGTACTACACTCTCTAATGTTACCCATTTTCAGTATCTCGGGTCCCACCTGCCCACCACCGCGGACATCGGTGAAGAGAATCAACATCGGATCACATGTGCATCTCAAGTCTTTGGCAGACTCTGTACCGTGTCTTCAGCTGTAGGGAGCAAAAAAGTTGAACATATATCAAGCAGTGGTCCTCCTCACCCTGCTATATGGCAGCGAGGCATGAGTCACATACAGGAGGCACCTCAAGGCACTTGAAAACGTTCACCAACATAGTCTACGTTCTATCCTCCGAGTTCGCTGGGAAGACACGATAACAAATACCAGTATTCTTGCTGACATCATCTGTAGGAGCATCGAGGCTACCATTACCCATGAACAACAACGTTGGACTGGCCATGTTATCCGCATGGACGACAATAAACTGCCAAAGCAGCTACTTTACAGTCACCTAACGAATAGTAAACGTAATGCTGGCAGGCAACTGAAAAGCTATAAGGATAGTCTTAAGACAAACCTGAAAAAGTGCCAAATCGACCCCCCTCACCTGGAAGACACTCACTCCACACCGAAACGCTTGGAGGAGCACCACACGAGAAGGTGGCAATACTTTCGAGTTAGCTCGACTGCACACCGAAGTAGAGAAGCGCTAACGCCGGAAAGCTGCTGCCGCCACCCCTCGCGCACTTGATGTAGCCCACCATACGTGCAACATCTGTGGCTGACCCTTCCGGTCCCTTATCGGCCTCTCGAGTCACCTCAGAGCTCACCAACGAAGGTGACATCCTTATTAACTCATATCATTGTATCATAGGCAACATCGTAGGAGGACCCTGTTGCAATGGTAATGTACGCAATAGGCCTATCCGTGCTCCAACACACAATAAAATTTGAATCAACCGAGGTTAAGCAGACCTTACAGGAGCAGGAAAAGTGGAGGACATCAAAAAGTGATGGGACCTGGAAACATCACGAGGTCCACAAATAGGGTACCACCCAAACGCCAGCAAGCCCTTCCTCATTGTGAAGCCAGAACATTATGAACGGGCAATGGAGGTGTTCGGTGGAAGTGAGATCAAAATAACAAAGGATGGCCAAAGACACCTAGGTGCAGTAATCGGTACGACGGACTTCAAGACCGAGTACGTAACGGAAAAGGTGAATGAGTGGGTTAGGGAAATCCAAGCACTCTGATATTGCGAACACAGAGCCACATGCGGCTTTTGCGGCAGTCACCCATGGAGTCAAGCATCGCTGGAACTACCTGATGTGCACTATCCCTGATATCGGACCCCTCCTCCTGGAAGAAGCTATCAGCGTCAATTTCTTTCCCAAATTAGTGAAACACCTTCACTTAACCCCAGCAGAAAGATCACTCCTTGCACTACCACCGAGACTGGGATGAATGGGATTGACCAATCCAGAGGAGATTGCTGCCACCGAACATCAAAACTCAGTTAAGCTCATAGCAGCCCTCATTGATCACATAATAGCTCAGAACGCAACAGGTGAGGTGAATACCAGTGAAGTAAACAAGATTCGAAGGTTCATTACAACATAACGACAGCACGGCCAAAGTGATAAGTTGCAGCAACTGATGCTGCAAGTACCAGAGAATTTGAAAAAAAAAGTAGCTATGGCGCAGGAGGTGGGCGCCTCAAACTGGTTAACTACGTTACCGATAAAGACAAATGGTTTCAGTCTCAATAAACAAGAATTTACAGATGCCATTGCTCTAAGGTACGGTAGGCCAGTAGAAGGTTTACCCTCCCAATGCGTGTGTGGCTCTTCCTATGACGTCGATCATGCCATGGTGTGCAAGAAAGGGGGCTTCATATGCATGAGGCATGACGGAGTAAGGGATCTTACAGCAAATATGTTGAAGGAAATCTGTCGTGATGTTAGGGTAGAACCGACCCTCCTTCCATTGGACGGTGAGAATTTCCAACACAGGACTTCAAACATATCCAACAAAGCCTGTGTTGACGTCAGTGCTCGAGGATTCTCGACGCAGGGACAGCGAGCCTTCTTCAACATCAGGATTTTTTATCCCATGGCCGCATGTCACCGGAACTTAGCTCTCAATGCTGCACACAGGAGGAACAAAAACGACAAGATAAGGGCATATGGGGAGAGAATTCAAAACGTTGATCAAGGCAGCTTCACTCCTCCTGTGTTCACAACCTCTGGTGGGATGGGACCAAGTGCAAGATGCTTCTACACCAGACTCGCGGAGGTGCTATCCGAACAGAAGCAGCAGCCCAGAAGTTATGTTACAGCCTGGATGAGATGTCGACTGTCCTTCTCTTTCCTTAGGTCTGCTTTGCTTTGCCTCAGGGGAACGAGAGCATCGGCCCCAAAGCCAACAACAGTTGCAGATATTGACTATGAGGCAACAGTCACTGAATGCCGCATAGATCTGCGGCTCAACTAACTCAACACAGCTAGGATAGCTACTTATGTATTAGGATATTTAATTTTACGGTAATAAAATGGCGTCGAAGGTGTGGCTATAGGGGGAGGATGGAGACCACGTTTCTGAAAAAAAGTTTTAGTAGTAGTAGTAGTAGTAGTAGAATTTAAAACGTTGAACAGGGCAGCTTCACTCCTCTGGTGTTCACCTCTGGTGGGATGGGACCAAGTGCAAGATGTTTCTACGCCAGACTCGCGGAGATGTTATCTGAACGGAAGCAGCAACCCAGAAGTTATGTTACAGCCTGGATGAGATGTCGACTGTCCTTCTTTCTCCTTAGGTCGGCTTTGCTCTGCCTCAGGGGAACGAGAGCATCGGCCCCAAAGCCGACAACAGTCCAAGATATTGACTGTCAGGCAACAGTCACTGAATGCCGCATAGATCTGCGGCTCAACTAACTCAACACAGCTAGGGTAGCTACTTATGTATTAGGATATTTAATTTTATGGTTATAAAATGGTGGCGAAGGTTTGAGTATTGGGGGAGGCTGGAGGCCATATTATAAAAAAAGTAGTAGTAGTAGTAGTAGTAGTAGTAGTAGTGTGTGTGTGTGTGTGTGTGTGTGTTTCTTTTATTTACTTGCATATACGCATATGCTTGCATGTGTCATTGCTCTGTTGTTCTGGCATGAGTCATGTCCTCCTGTGAGTCACATCGTCTTACTCATCACAGGACCAGGGGAACCTCCTTCGCAATGGAATCCTGGAGATGTCGCTGATCCGCGGAGTGCAGACCTTTGACACAGAGAACAACCGCTGGCCCAACACCAACCACCAGTTGTACAAGGATGCCCCCACCCTCAGGGTCGAGGATATGAAGAAGTTGGTGTCTTGTGAGCTGTACGAGATGCACATGAAGTTCATTCACAGGTTATTTTTGTCTTAGTGAAGTTCATCTTCAATTTAAGTCTTGCCTAAATGAAATTTAACTGTAGTTGAAAACTTACAAAAAATTAACTCGATCCAAGTAACGGGTCAGTCTATTCTTAATGGAGTTCACCAGAAATATTAAAGCAGGTGTCGCCGACCGTCTGTTTGTGTGCACACACAAACATACGTCGGCGATGTGTGTTATCGTGTCTTCTATAGTCTCCAGCAGTGGTGAGAAAAGTGTGGCTCCAGGGCAATTTTTGGACCGGGACCATATTCGAGTTATGTGTTCTCTCTCTCTCAAGAGATATAAAATTTATCAATAGATTTGGAAGAATTTTACAGACTATATACACTATTATAAAACTAGCATAACACTAACTCCCACACAAATTTTCTTTGCAATCAAGTATAACAATCAATAATAAAAGGTTTTATATTTACCTGTTCTTATTATTTTTATTGAATTGTATTTCTTATTTCTTTACTGTTCCCTATTTTCACTCCTTTACTTCTTTATTATATTTTTCTGTTCTTTGTCTGTTCGTTATACTCGTAAGATGGTGGAAGTGGAGGAAGAATTGAGGAATGGAGATAGTGAGGGAGGTATTTGTTTATGTTTGAGACTGGCTGTGGGATGTTAAGGAATGTAGGTCCTCACACCAAGGGGAGACTGAGGAGGTGGATAGCTGGGGACTAAGATACAACAATTAATAGAGGGGAAATATGAAATAGGTATTGCTTAGGATTCACTGTATTACTGCATAACACTAAAGACACTTATAAAGGACAATACTGTACTCCATACACAAGGGAATTGAGAACTAATCATAACAGTTCTTCGTTTATTGACGACGTTAATCAAAATGAACAGTCACACTTTCAAAATAATAACCTATCTTCCTAGCTAGCTAACCATGGATCACATGAATCACAATACATTTCGTGAAACGGATAAAACTTAAAAGGTACTCACATTATATCCCACTGTATGAGAAGATGACACCTACACGCACCCACACTTAACTCTCTCCAAAACCAGACTGTCTTTTTCAAACTGTGTCGCCCACAAAGGGTGCCACCTCTTTCATGACCCCACATCTCACAGGTTCTCTCATTGGTTCAGGCCGAAGGCATTCATCCTCACAGGTCCCTGCAATTGGCTCACGTTTGGCGATAAATACTCACTCATGCCGTTGCTACACAAGCTCTATTATTTTGAGTTATTTACTTTTTCCATTTAACTTTAAAAATTTGATAATATTAAAATGAATTACCCATTTTGTTTTGAACTTGTTTTGAGTGGACCCTTATGATTTCGATATGGTCCTGTGGGGATGCATGTTCCCACACACACATACACATGTAGTTTCACAAACTGTTCATTGTAAGAAACGCTATGTCCGGATGTACAATAACTGTCTAAGTCTATTGCACTCTGTTAACCTAGCACAGGACGTGTGGCTGCAGGACTGACTCTTTGGCCAGACAAAACTAACCGCAGTCGATCTACAGTAACTGTGACTGTAACCTAAGTAGCTTGGGAGAGAGAGAGCTAGCCCGGAGGCTCACCTCTCTCCACCACTCACTTGGATTCCTTCTCTCTCTATCACTCACTTGGTCTCTCTCTCTCTCTCTCTCTACCACACAGTGCCCTCCCCCCTCTTGCCACCATTCACTTGGCCTTTCCCTCTCCTCACCACTTATTCCGCCTCCTCTCTCTAACACTCACTTGGTCTTTCCCTCTCTCTACCGTCACTGGCCTCCCCCTCTCACTACCGCTCATTTGGCCTTTCCCTCTCCACCACTCACTTGGTCTCCTTCTCTCTCTACCACTCACTTGGCCTCACTCACTCGCCATCACTCACTCGGTATCTCGCACTCTCAACCAATTACTTGTCGTCCCCCCCCCCTCTCTCCACCACTCACTTGCCCTCCCCCCTCTCTCCAGCACTCTCTTGCCCCCCCCCTTCGTCACCATTCACTTGGCCTCTCCTCTCTCCACCACTCACCTGTTCCTACAACTCACCTGGTCTCCGCCACTCATCTGGTCTCCACCACTCACCTGTTCTCCACCACTCTCCTCCTCCACTCACCCAGTCTCAACCACTCACCTGACCTCCACTACTCACCTGTTCTCCACTAATCACTGGTGTCCTCCACTCACCATTCTCCCTACTCACCTGGTCTCTACTACTCACCTAGTCACCAACATTCACCTGTTCTCCATCACGCACCTGGTCTCCACCACTCACCTGGTCTCACCACTCACCTGTTCTCCACTGCTCACGTGGTGTCCTCCACTCACTTGGTCTCGACTCCTCAACTGGTCTCCTCCACTCACTTGGTCTCCACTACTCACCTGTTCTCCACTAATCATCTCGTGTCCTCCACTCACTTGGTCTCCACTACTCACCTGTTCTCCACTAATCATCTCGTGTCCTCCACTCACTTGGTCTCCACTACTCACCTATTCTCCATCATATACCTGGTCTCCACCACTCACCTGGTGTCCTCCTCTCACTTGGTCTCCACCAAACACCTGATGTCCTCCTCTCACTTTTCTCGACCACTCACCTGGTTTCTACCACTCACCTGATCTCCACCACTCACCTGGTCTCCACCGCTCACTCATTCTCCACCCTTTATCTGTTCTCCACCACTCACCTGGTCTCCACCACCCACCTGGGCTCCACCACTCACCTGTTCTCCACCACTAACCTTGTGTCCTCTCACTTGGTTTCCACCACTCAGCTGGTGTCCTCCACTCACTTGGTCACAATTTCTCACCTGCTCTCCTCCACTCACCTGGTCCCCACTACTCACCTGTTCTCCACTAATCACCTCGTTTCCACCACTCACCTGTTCTCCCCTACTCACCTGTTCTCCACCACTCACTTGGTCTTCCCTACTCACCTGCTCTCCACCAATCACCTGCTCTCCACCACTTACTTGGTCTCCACTATTCACCTATTTTCCTCCACTCACCTGGTCTCCACTATTCACCTGTTCTCCAATATTCACTTGTTCTCCATCACTCGCCTCTTCTCCACCACTCACCTGTTCTCCACGACTCACCTGTTCTCCACCACTCACCTGTTCTCCACTAATCACTGGTGCCCTCCACTTACCATTTCTCCACTACTCCCCTGGTCTCCAACACTCACCTGGTCTCCACCACCCACCCGGTCTCCACCATTCACCTGCTCTCCACCACTCACCTGTTCTCCACCACTCACCTGGTCTCCACCACTCACCTTGTCTCCACCACCCACCCGGTCTCCACCATTCACCTGCTCTCCACCACTCGTCTTTTCTCCACCACGCACTTGTTCTCCACCACTCACCTGGTCTCCACCACTCACCTGGTCTCCATCACTCACCTGTTCTCAACCACTCACCTGGTGTCCTCCACTCACTTGGTCTTTCCCACTCACCTGGTGCCTTCCACTCACCATTTCTCCACTACTCTCCTGGTCTCCACCACTCACCTGGTCTCCACCACCCACCCGGTCTCCACCATTCACCTGCTCTCCACCACTCACCTGTTCTCCACCACTCACCTGGTCTCCACCACTCACCTTGTCTCCACCACTCACCTGGTCTCCACCACTCACCTGGTCTCCACCACTCACCTGGTCTCCACCACTCACCTGTTCTCCACCACTCACCTGGTCTCCACCACTCACCTGGTCTCCACTACTCACCTGGTCTCCATCACTCACCTGTTCTCAACCACTCACCTGGTGTCCTCCACTCACTTGATCTCCACCACTCATCTTTTCTCCACCACGCACTTGTTCTCCACCACTCACCTGGTCTCCATCACTCACCTGTTCTCAACCATTCACCTGGTGTCCTCCACTCACTTGGTCTCCCCCACTCACCTGGTGTCCTCCACTCACCTGTTCTCCCCCACTCACCTAGTGTCATCCACTCACTTGGTCTCCACCATTCACCGGGTGTCCTCCTCTTACTTGATCTCCACCACTCATCTTTTCTCCACCACACACCTATTCTCCACCACTCACCTGGTCTCCATCACTCACCTGTTCTCCACCACTCACCTGGTCTCCATCACTCACCTGTTCTCAACCACTCACCTGGTGTCCTCCACTCACTTGGTCTCCACCACTCACCTGGTTTCCACCACTCACCTGGTTTCCACCACTCACCTGCTATCTAATAGTCTCCTGGTCTCCACCACTCACCTTGTCTCCCACCACTCACCTGGTCTCCACCACATACCTGTTCTCCACCACACCTGGTCTCCACCACTCACCTTCCACCACTCACCTGGTCTCCACCATATACCTGTTCTCCACCACTCACCTGGTCTCCCACCACTCACCTGGGTCTCCACCACCATCTGGTGACCTCCACTCACTTGGTCTCCACCACTCACCTGGTTTCCACCACTCACCTGGTTTCCACCACTCACTTGGTCTCCACCACCACCTGGTCTCCTCACTCACTTGGTCTCCATCACTCACTCTGGTGTCCTCCACTCACTTGGTCTCCTCCATCATGACATCACCGCCTGCTATCCTCCTCTAACTTTCTCCACCATTCACCTGATTCTCCACCACTTACCTCCTCCCCACCACTCACCTGGTCTCCACCACTCATCTGGTGTCCTCCACTCACTTGGTCTCCACCACTCACCTGATTTCCACCACTCACTTGGTCTCCACCACTCACTTGGTGTCCTCCACTCACTTGGTCTCCTCCACTCACTTGATCTCCATCACTCGCCTGCTATCCTCCTCTAACTTATCTCCACCATTCACCTGATTCTCCACCACTTACCTCCTCTCCACCACTCATCTGTTTTCCACCACTCCTGTTCTCCACCACTCACCCGGTCTCCTCCACTCATTTGGTCTCCACCATTCACTTGGTCTCCACCACTCATCTTTTCTCCACCACTCACCTGTTCTCCACCACTCACCTACTCTCCACCACTCACCTACTCTCCACCACCCACCTACTCTCTACTACTCTCCTGGTCTCAACTACTCACTGTTCTCCACTAATCACCTCGTGTCCACCACTCACCTGCTCTCCACCGCTCACCTGCTCTCCACTACTCACTTGCTCTCCACTACTCTCCTGGTCTCCACTACTCTTCTGGTCTCCACTGCTCACTTGGTCTCCACTATTCACCTGTTCTCCACCACTCACCTGGGCTCCACCGCTCACGCATTCTCCACCCTTTATCTGCTCTCCACCACTCACCTGTTTTCCACTACTCACCTGTTCTCCAATATTCACCTGTTCTCCATCACTCACCTCTTCTCCACCACTCACCTCTTCTCCACCACTCACCTCTTCTCCACGACTCACCTGTTCTCCACTAATCACTGGTGTCCTCCACTCACCATTTCTCTACTACTCACCTGGTCTCCAAAATTCACCTGTTCTCCATCACTCACCTGTTCTCCACCGCTCACCTGGTCTCTACTACTCACCTGGTCTCCAACATTCACCTGTTCTCCACCACTCACCTGTTCTCCACCATTCACCTGTTCTCCACGACACACCTGTTCTCCACCACGCACCTGGTCTCTACTACTCACCTGGTCTCCAACATTCACCTGTTCTCCACCACTCACCTGTTCTTCACTAATTATCTGATCTCCGCAGCCTGAAGGAGCTGAACGTGGACGAGCCTGTCATGATGTTGTTGCTGCTTATCGTTCTCTTCACCAGCGACCGACCTCACCTGCTAGCTGGTCCTACCGTCCAGATGCGCCAGGACCATTACATCCATCTTCTCAGGTAAGTCTTGGCTCCTCTTATTTTATAGTAGATCCTCCATTACGCCCTCATCTTCTCATTCTCATTTTGTGGTGTGCCCTGAGTCTTCTTCTTTTGCTGTTCCTCATCAGGTCAGGCCTTGGTCATCTTGTTCTATGTCAGCGTCTCGTGTGCCCTGGGCATCTTTTTTCCATGTTAGGTCGCTTCCTTCCTCCCACTTGTTGTTATAACATGTACAGTATAAATATAGGGTGTCCCAGAAAAATGTCCCTCCCTCCCTCCCTCCCTGCCCTCTCCCTGGACCCCTGTGAGTTGGAGGAAGAGCAGGGAGGGAGAGAGGCAGAGAGGTAACACTAGTTGTTCTTCAAAACTTCGCTCGCTGGTCCTAAAAAAATAGTCCTATTTCATATACACCCTTAAATAATAAAAAAGTGAGGCCTTTTTCCTTAATATATTTTCAATCGTTACAATGTAATCAGTATATTATTAACGTATAATCTAGGCAGCTATCAAACAGGGAGGTACTACCGCCTGGAATGATATTGGAAGCATAATGTGTTGTCTAATAGTACACCCTGCTGCCATACAGCACCACAAAAATTGTGACCAAGTCCCAGGCCGCTTATCTGACTTTCTGTTTCATTTACACACAATTACAGGGTCTCAATTGTTTTTCTTACCATTCACAACACAATTATTATTATCATTATTTATTATTATATTTTCGCCCCCCAGGCCCTGATGTGGTCAATGAACTGTGCTCGGGTGGGCTAATCCCAGTAAAAAAATAATAATAAATAAATAAAATAAAAAATCTGTAAGGTTTCAGTGCAATAAATAGTTCATACTTTCAGACATATTAATAATTCTGGCAATGCTCTTCTTTTTTCCATTGATAACCGTTGTTGCTGGGTGGGTACAGAAAGTACCTGGGTTGGCGCTATGGCCCTCACAACGCCCCTATCCTCTACCCTCGCCTTTTGATGAAACTGACAGACCTCCGGGAGCTGAATGACCAGCACACTGAGTACAATCTCAAGTTGGCCAAGCAAGAGGTTAGTCAACAAAATCATCACACACACACACACACACACACACACACACACACACACACACACACACACACACACACACACACACACACACACACACACACACACACACACACACTGTGGATTTTCCGCCTTTTTTGGTTTTCATGCTCTTTCAATAAACCGTTCATTATTATCATTATTACACACACACGATGGCAGAGACACTCGCAGATACACAGACAGATGTACAGATGGACAGATCGAAGAGTATACACATCTAAAAATGAACAAATTTAACATGAACCATAACAGTATACTGCATATAATACTCACATTGTCTCCTCTAATTGCATAAGTAAATTTTAACTACAAAGTTGGGATTCACAGAGATTTCATCGGTTCATTTTCCTTGTAGCTGTTGTGTATTGGGTGTACTTAACGTTAAGTTTCAGTAAAATTTAATACCATTTTGATCAGTGCATTCGCTTAACTCAACCAGTTAGGCACATTTTCATCCTATACCTAAGGATGCTTCATCTCACTTTCACAGATCGCAGAGATCCAGACTCAGTTAGGTCGACTAAACCTGAACCCTTACACTGAGTGGCCTAGCATCGTGCAGCAACAGAGTTTGTCCACCATGCCATCTGTGGCGCCTCAGGAAGACCCAGGTCCTTCCTCACGTCCCGTAGATATTGTTCCACCACCGGTAGCGCCTATGCAAGTGATGGTCACCCCAAAAACACCCTCCAGTGGTGAGCGCCAGGCTGGGCTTATAGGGACGTCATCAGGTGTGGCACCCGAGGGGAACTCACGCGCTCCCGACTCCTCGGGAATGGGCGACCTCTTGGCGTCTCTTGATTTCGAGCAGTTAGCAAATAATCCGAGCTTCCAGCGGATGATTATGCAACAGTTGCAGAAGTCCATCGTGAGTGTTCTCAGCTCTCCTAATTTTGGTCTGGGTAATCTTTTCCCTGACGGTCGCACCATGAAACATCAGCAACCCATGGCAAATAATTTGCAGCAAAATTCACCATCGATAACGCAGCAGACATCGCATCTTCAGACACCACCACCACAAATTTTCCTGCAGCAACAACAACAACAACAACAACAACAACAACAACAACAACAGCAGCAGCAGCAGCAGCAGCAGAAGCTCTCACCGCAGCCACAAGCTCTATCAGAGCAGATGCCAGCACCTCCTCAAGATCCCGCCTCAGACCTCATGACGCAACTCGACTACATTAATTCCAGTCAACCATGCAACCTTCAGAACGTCCACCAGTCTCAGCAGGCATTCCAGCAATTAGAAAATCAACTTATGAATAACATCAGCGGCTGTGGCAACTTTGGAGAGCAACATCAACAGCAACAACTACAACAACAGTATCAATGCTACCTGCAACAACAGCAATATCTTCACCAGCAAGCGCTATTCTTTCAACACCAGCATCAAATTCAACAGCAATCACAACAGGAGCAACAACACATGAATCAGCAACAGGGTATGTCAAGACCGGGTTTTATTATTCCTAAACAGGAGCCAACGACACCACCTACATACACTGCACATCAGGGACCGGAGCATCCTTTGCTGTTCGACGAGCCACAGTGTCGCCTGTCCCAACAACACTCTCCTCCACACCAGTCTTCCCCATCCCCAACATTATCACGACAGCAACAACAACAAATCGACTCAAAAGATGATGGTTCGCATCCAAAGAGAAATTCACTGTCTGACGTCAATGGTCTTACTCATTTTAGGGACTTGTTAGAAGAGTTCGCAACACTGAATAATCCAGACCACTTTCGACAAGTCAAGCAGTTACTGGGTTCCGATCTTGTCTCATCTTTACAGCAAAAACTTGTTGGATCAGAATCTTTAGTGCATTCACAGCACCAACCACTTCCATCACCGCCACAGCCTCTATCACCGCCGTCACCACAGCCTCTACCACCATCACCACCACAACCTCTACTATCATCACCGCCACAGTGCCAACAATTCCCGTCACAGGCTCATGTTTACTCGCCGACAGCGTCCTACCAGTACTTCACAGACAGAGAATACACCGAAGCAGTGACAGGAAGCGGAATCAACACCTCCACCAATTCTCCTGACACACAATACGGCACAGCAGACTCGTCCTCCTTCTGCAAAATTCAACATCGGGTGGTGCCACCGACTTTGCGACAGAGCACCACCGATATGCCTTCGTCAGCAGCTTTCCCCGTCACCAACAGCACCACCATGGTCTACCAGTATCATCCTGATCTCCTTCATAATGCTTCCACATCCACCTAATGCACCAAATAACTCAAATTTCGATGCATTTATCCTTCTTGTTTGGCAAATATATGATGTGAACAAACATATATGTTTGTTAAAGGAGAGGTTTCATCTTATCAAATGCTTATATAAACTAAACAACTGATATATTGTGGATTTACATGAAATATATATATATATATATATATATATATATATATATATATATATATATATATATATATATATTTATTTATTTATGTTTATATATATTTATATATATATATATATATATATATATATATATATATATATATATATATATATATATATATATATATATATATATATACTTCAACACTTTGAACATATAATCAAATATGTTCAAAGTCCGCGTGTTATATGGACTAAAAATGAAGTATATATATGTACCTCGCGTTTCATACCAGCTGGATTCGGTAAAATGCTACTGACACCACATACGAGGCACGGGCAGTTTCCCAATGAGGTTCACGGCGCCATCAGCTCGATGAACAGGCTTTGTGTGAAATATAACAGAGTCTAGAACTGCTTTTAGTGTCCTTGTGGCCTAGCCGGTAAGCGTTCCCTAGTCAGTAGGTCGAGGGTTCGATTCCTTGCTGGTGAGGTCGTTGATTATATGTCCTTGTGGGCTAGCCGGTAAGCGTTCCCTAGTCCTACCCAGTAGGTCGAGGGTTCGATTATTGCTATGATATATATATATATATATGTGTATATATCAGGTTCCCAAGCGCTTTCGTGTAATTACAAAATGAAAGATGTATATATATATATATATATATATATATATATATATATATATATATATATATATATATATATATATATATATATATATATATATATATATATATGTGTGTGTGTGTGTGTGTGTGTGTGTGTGTGTTAATAAAAGTTGCATAATGAATACAATACATGTTGATGAGTTATCCTTGAGTATTACTTCAACATTAAGAAATTGCTCTGCGGCGCCGACCTTCGACGGTCAGTTGAGCTTATTCTCAAACAAAATTTACCATTACTGCCCACCTACCCACTCCCTCCACCCACCATTTCAATTCTTAAAGCGAATCTCCGTACTCTTGAATAAACGGTTCTTATTTTGAAAACAACACAAATTATTTTAGACTCTTACCAGACAAATACCCCCATTACATACGTTATTACGTTCCAAGTCTCTCCCTGCAACACGGGATTCCAGTGATAAAAGTCTTCGTAACTGAAGATGTGTGAATGCACATTACTGGGCGGCTTAAACTAAAGAAAAAACAAGACGTCTGAACTTTCTGTCTAAATTATTCAGATTCTAGAAGATTCTCAACCCTAATTTTGTCTCCCAACTTAAATGATAGTATCTAGTTAACGCAGAGTCTCTTTGATTTTCTTATTATTTCTGTCTGTTACTTTTTTACTATAGCTAAAGTTATCAATCTGCCATGATAAGGAATTTTCATCAAATAAGCCTTTTACAATCTACACCCAGACTTCCACTGTAACCCTTTCTTTAGTTGTTCTTTCAAAAACAGATATCTATTTCGTTGGAGTACTGCACCCATCACAGCCAACCAACCCCATAATTATGCTGAAATATTGGTTCGATCGCTTCGCTTTGTTACAAACAAACCAGCTCGCCAAATATCAAGGGTGTAGTCAGTAGATCAACACCAGAGTGGATGTCAATTTGACAGACCACACCGATGTGATGAGATGTGTCACACTAGAAACTATGAACAGACACATAGAGAGCATTAAATCAAGTGAATGTTATGCTTTTACTAATGGTTCTGCGCAGACAAACACAGGTAGAACAGGCTGTGCAATTGTAATATATAAAGAAAAAGAGATGATAGTGTCAAACAAGCAAAGGCTGAACAACTGGGCCAGCACAAAACAAACTGAACTAACTGGAATCTACTTAGTCACAGACTACCTTAAAGAAAATAGAGGTGGGGTGATATTCTGTGACTCAAAGCGCTTTGAAATCAATGAACAGTCCGTCAGGTTCTATGTCTAAAGTTGTATGTGATATTAAAAGAAATGTGATAACTGCCAATGAGAACAACTCTTGTATTGAAATTGTGTGGATTACGTCCCATGTTGAATTAGGTATCATGACCGTACTGATAGACTGGCCAATGAGGCATGTAAGAAAGAAAATGTTGACCGTGACCTTGGCCTGTCCAATGCTGCTTAAAAACATTCAAGTCAGATTCATGAACTCTAATCTAGAAGAAGTGAGAAATGCAGAGACCTGGCAGTTGTAGCATTAGAAAATATCACAAATTTTGTGACGAGAAGTACCGGTATGGCCCGCATAAGGACAGGACCAGACAATGTGATGTAGTCGTGGCCAGAATTAGGCTAGGATACAGACACATCTGGCAAGTTAGTAACGCTGTACCCATACCGGAACACTCAGCATGTAAACCTTGTGATAAACCTTTAAAGCATACACTTGAACACTATATTATTGAATGTGACACTGTCAAAGACTTCAGGCCACCTGGCTTATTGTATCATAAACTTTGTAATTACTATATTGAATCGAGGGTGCTTGGGAACATTCTTGCTGTTTATCCCAAATTTGCTAGCCCACACTGATTAGTCTTCAATTAGAATATAACGTCCAATGTATATGAAACACTGTCTTGCATGGCAGCGAACAGAGACATCACCCACACGACTCTGACCTATATATGCTGCTAATGAATATGATGCATTTCTTAGTGTACGAACCTCTGTCCTGCATGGCAGTGAACAGTGATATTACCCACATGAATCTGATCTATGTATATATGTGTAGGTATGTGTATGTGTATGCATATGAATGTGCATGTGTGTGTATGTGTATATGTATGTATATTGTTATGACCCTAGGCCTCTTAGGTTGTAACAAAATTACAAATTCAACTTCTCTTTGTATTGTAGGTCCAAGAAAGAGATCCCACCAAAATCATCACCTCATTACTATGGGGTATATTGAAATACATGCAGTAACTTTAATTACAAAATATATTAACAAACAAACAATAAAACAAATATATCAGTTATGTACAAAAAAAACAAATACAAATTAAATCTGATCAAATAAATAACTCAACCGAGTGACAAAATAATGAACATAAAGGTAAAGACAAAACACTTATTTAGTTTAACATCTACCATGAACAACGTGGTATATCCACCACACGAAACCTCATAAATAGGTAAGTTATTTTCCGTGGAACTCTAAAATATGATTAACAATAATCTTTCACAAATAATACTTGGTGTTCTAAAAGTCGAGCAAGGTTCACACGTTATACCACTAGAAATATACTGTACAATAAGGAAGGAGATACTTAACTTATCACTGCCAGCCCAATACTGCCGTCATGCGGCTTGAGAGGTAAACAAAGCGAGCAGAAATGACGTCACAAACAAAAGACGTTCACCTTGCGAATCCACAACCAACCATGGAACGCCATCTCTTAATTTACTTTAATATCCAGGTTCTAGGAGTAACCAAACAAAAAAAAGTGAAGTATATCAAAAGGGAATAAAAATAAATAAAGTAAACCTTTAAGAATTTAATTAAAGTAAATATTAACACAATAAAGAGCCTCGTAGGCTGTCACAACAAATTGATTCACTAACATTGTTTTCAGGTTTCAAGTCGTTAATAATACACGCGAGGCAATAGCTACTCGCGTCATACCAGCTGGATTCGGTAAAGTTACCGACACCACATAAGAGGCACGGGCAGTTTCCCCAATGAGGTTCACGGCGCCATCAGCTCGATGAACAGGCTTTGTGAAATATAACAGAGTTCAGAACTGCTTTTTAGTGTCCTTGTGGCCTCAGCTGGTAAGCGTTCCCTAGTCCTACCCAGCAGGTCGAGGGTTCGATTCCCCGCTGGTGAGGTCGTTGATTATATATATATATATATATATATATATATATATATATATATATATATGTTGTTTGATTCTGAGCTGCAGTGTTTTCCTGTCTGTCCTACATAATGTAATTACATTGCTACGGAATACACTCAGCTCAGAATCCTTTTCTATCAGAAGAGCATCTGAAAGCAGTGCCTTGTTCGTTCATGTTAGGAATAATAATCATCCTATTGCTTGGGAAAAAAGCTTAGAAGTATTTAAATCATCTTGTGTCACAGAAAGACTTCTGGTTGATGCTAGTTTGATTAAGGAATTAAAATCAATAAACCTTAGTGATGGTCAGTTCAAAACTGATAATATGCTACATAAATTTATTTGTCAGTGGCCCAAGGTTAAAAATGCTTTGAAAACCTTTGATCTAGATGTATGGAAGTATTTGAGTGGGTCCCTTATTTTTGACCTGACCTGACTAGTCACGTCACCCCCCTTCTCTTTAGCTCCTCTACGTGTGTGTTGGTGTGGGGATTAGTGGATGACATCATTATGACCTGACCTCATGTTTTAAGGTCACCCTGTATATTAATATAACACTGCCAGATAGAATGTGTCGGAGGAGAAGGGTCCTAACAGCTGTTGTTTGCTTACATTAGCCAGTTGAGAGGGGGCGCTCCCTCCCCTCATCCTCTATTTCTCCCTGGAATCTTTATATAATTCCTTTTACGTTGATTACCACACAACGAGGGCGGCGAGGCATTTAAAGGGAGACTGCTTTACTTATACACTCAGCACTTAGAATTTGATTGCCTTATAAAGTATTTCTATTAATTGCAGTTCATTATTGGTCTCATCTCAACAGAAGATGATTTAGATCAATATTTAATGACACATGACACTGTTAACATCAAAGCTTACATAAATAGTGTCATAATTATCACTTATTAATGTTATTCCTCTAAGGCAGTTAAATGGATGGTGGTTGTGTTTATCTGGCAACGATCTAACTAAACCCTCATTACTCTCTCTCTCTTATCATCATCACCGCCATCACCACTATCATCACCATTACAATCACCACTAGCATGAACAAGGCAATTAATATATCCTGATAAATTCGTAAGTACAGGGCGATCTATTTCTCAACGGTACTGAATGATGAACCAGTGTAATTATTTAATCGTTACGCGCGTCAAGACCCTAGTTATTGAAGAACACTAATAACATAACGCCAAAGATCTTCAAAGCAATAACGACATACAGCA